ATAATTGTATAGTATAGATTGTAAAACACTACAACCTGTTTCTCTCTACTTTTTGAAGACTGTTGTAGATTTCTAGGGGAAAGCTTTGAATGTCGCACTGAGGTTTTAATCAGAGTTTAGTAAAAATGACTGAACGATTAACTATTTTACCACTGTAACCTATTGGCCATTCCAGAATCAAATGTTTTTTGTGAAAGCTATGTGTCACCACCCACAATCTGACACTTTATTTTTGCATATCCAACCAAAACCATACTTTGAGATCCTGCCTGTAACCAGAAGCCAGTGGGGCCCAGGTGGACGACTAAAAGGACTGTGGAACGACGAAGCAAAGAGTTCGGATTGGGAGTCTGGGACAAAGCAATCTCACACTTGGCCCGGAAAAAAGCTGTTTATATCCCCCGCCGTCCCCTGTCAGAATTTCGATCCTTCCCACAAGTTGTAGCTATTTTGTTTAGAGTGGAAGCATCCTCAATCAGACGGCCACAGCTTTACTGTAGCAGAACCGGGAACGGAGAAGAGAGAAAATGTTGCTACCGTGCAACTTTTGCTACCTTCCTTGTGCACGTTCCAGGTATTTATTGTGTAGCCAAACAACATATTTTACAATCTGCCTATTTTGGGTGGCTGAGATGAACGGGTGCCTGATCGTAACTGTCACCCCTGCAGATGACAGAGAGGAGATGGAGATCATTTGAGTCGAACCAGAGCAAAACTACTCTTTAATGTTCCCCGTCTGTTTAAGGAGGAGGTAAAGGGATAAAGTACTTTGGTCACCCGGATCGTAGGACTGTTTCTATAGACGTGTTTCACGTTAGAACGACGCTCATGTTTCTTTCCGTCTTAAGTTAATGCTAAAGTTCCTCATTTCCAAACTTGGGTTAGTGATAGAAAACAAAGACGATGTTTTTAACTAAAAAATGTGTTCGATTGTGCAATACACTCAAATGCTGATGATCATGTGGAAATAAAACCCCACCCCCCCAAACTTCCAGAAGATGCTTTATTTCTTTATCAGTGTGTGGGGTCCCTTACATGACAGTCTCCTGCGGCGCCGGGAGACTTTCATAACTTAACATGAACTTTTTCATAAGTTTTCAGGAAAAACAGGATGAGACAAAGTAAAAGCTTGAAAAAGCTCTCTGAAAAATTATGGAAATTTGACCACGGTTCCTATCATCTTCTCTGCAGATAAAGAGATACGATCAAAGGCTCCATAACAGTGTTTAAATGATGGCAATATTGCATTATTACTTTGTGTTCAATCCTATTTTTCAATTTATCTATGGATGTAAAGTGGAATAGATCTCTGTTAAATAAGAACTCGCTGATTATTCTTTCAGGCCTGTGGACTGAAAGAGAATTTAAAGCAAAGAGCCTTTTGATTAACTTATATAAACCATTCTCCCCCGCTGTTTATCACTGGCGACTGGCTTACAGTTTGATTTGATTGTAAATTATGCATCTGAAGGATGAATAGGGAATTTTGCCTTTATATACTTTGCATTTTTATTATTGTGATAGATGTTTTTTTTTCTCTGGTGCGCCATGAAAGCAACATACGACATGCACACAGCAGAAGCTTAGAAGATTAATAGGGGGCTTGCTGCATTCATGTAAAATGGATTTTTTTCAAAAACAGCTGCATGCGTCTGACATAAATCCACAAGCACTACATGCACATGTTCTGCACACTGTACGGCGGACTGGACAGACTCTATAATTCACAAGTGGTTTGCAGGAGACAGTGCAGCTTTGTGGGGATGTTCTGTCATCCCTTCTTGTCAACTTAACTCCGTTGCCTCTCAGAGCTCTTTTCTCATTCCCTCCACCTCATCCCCGGCTCTTCACAACTTCCCTCCGTGCTCGGTAAAATATGTATTTTCTCCTCCCCCGGCCTGGGAACGGATTTCTTGTCTGCGCCGCTGGATGGGAAGACTCTCCAGAGCAGCAATTCTTTATTCCGCCTGTCACAGCAACCGAAGCACACGCGATCCCGGCCTGGCCTCTGACTGCCAGTTCGTAAAAAATCTGAGTGGGTGAAAGGTTGGCCTGAAGCAACACCTGAATGTGCAGTTCGGGTTAACCTAGCAAGACTTTACCAGCTCTTTTCTGTCTCAGCGCACATTGTCAAATGGGCTTGGTGAAACCAGCAATCATTCATTGGGGATTTGTTAAGTTTTTTTCAGTAATGGATTGTCTCGGCTACAATGTTAAATGCCCCCCACCATTCGATTAATCATTCCATGTATTGTATCTCTTAAGATGTGAGGGGAAATTGAAGATATTTAAGGAATGCTGAAAAGCTGAATCCAAATGCACATTTGTAAATTCTGGCCAAAACAGCTTTGGTCTCTGTGGATGTCACCAGAAAAAAACTAGCAAACGGCCGATCTAAGCCCAGATGGCGATGTCGTAAAAGTCTAATCGAGAAGAGCATCAGCAAAGTCCCCGACCGACGTGGAGTTCCAATCGCCCGATCAGGACGGCACAGGCCGCGACCCGTTTGTTTTTTTCTTCTTGTTTCAGTTTGAATGTGACTGATTAAAAAGGGGCTGTCCATCACTGGTCTCAGTGGCACAGGCCTGCTGGGAACTGAACTGTAGTTAATTAGTATACAAAGCCTGACACACAAAGAAAACTACGGGTGGTGGAGGTGGACGGGGGAGAGGCTTGAAAGCGGTGGGTGTGTGTGGGGAAA